GGGCTAACGGTGATTTAGAGCTAAGAGTTGTAAACAAGGTGAGCAGGAGTCAGGTGTTCAGGCGCCTGCTGAGGGTTTGGTGGGCCTTTACCTGCATGACTTCTCAGAGCATGTGCTGGGATGACTCTCAGCTACTACCACACCAGGTTTTAGCGCAATATCCGTAAAATTACCTGCTCTGGAGCCTTCTTTGTGTTGCTTAGTGTTCATCAGCTGCGGTGGCCATTTTGAACCACATTTACTCCAAAAGTTGTAGTTTTTTTACATTTCATGATTTATTTAATTAAACGTAATGAGTTAATGAGTTTCATTAAAATCTGTCCAGAGGTTTGTCAGGTATTTTACTAACAGACAAACAAAGGAAGGCAGGCACACAAAAGCAGAGCGTTACATGATTACCCACCTTAAAGGAGAAAAACGGCCAACAGACGATGGTTTGAAACAACATCGGTGTTTTGTTGGTTTTAAGTGTTTAATATAAAATCACTGAAAATAATCATTCTAAGCTTTACTTACTGCCCCAAAAACACATTGCTGTTAAAAATATTTATATTACAGTGGTCCCTCATTTATCACGGGTGTTTGGGACCACGCCCACCTGCGATAAGTGAAGTAGGGAGACAGCAGTCCTTGTTCAGCTCAAGTTAATTAAACTTTGTCATGACCTGTGCCAGGCTGCAGTCACACTCATCACCTGTTCCTCCCAATCTCCCTCCTTAAATGAATAGTTTGAATTTAAATACTGTAACATTTTAAATAAACAATTGATTGTTTATTTAAAATGTTACAGTATTTAAATTCAAACTGTAGAGAAGAGAAGTGCAGCATAGGATGTCTCACAGCTTCAGCTCTGCAGCACGGAGCAGAAATTAACTTCTTGATCAATTACGCTGAAACAACTGAACAAGAAGTTCTAAAATAATTAAAAATAACTTTTAACACTTTTATATTTTGTGATTATGACAATTTTATGACGTGACATACTTTGAATTTTAAGTTGGAAGACAAAAGTCGATCGGTGCATCTGCACATTAAAGGGTTAACCCTTCACACAGCTGCAGCAGGAGAAATGTGGGCGTGGCAAAGAAGGAGCTCAGCTGATCAGCTGCAGGAGGGAGCTTTCTCTTAAACTTGTGGGCTGCACACACGGTGCTAAATCGTTTAAAATAATTTATTTGAAATAAACAACCCATGGCTCATCCATCAATCAGCCAATTATGTCATGTCCAGTCTTATTTTGAAAAACTGCGATAAACAAACTGCGAAATAGTGAGGGACTGCAGTTTTATACAGTACTTTAAATATACTGTATTTATATTTTACTGAATTAAAGCTGTCCTGAATAAATTTTCAGTATTTAACATTTTAATTCTCATGTTTTACATCAGGCTAAAACGACATGGGTGACTGGTGGTGCAGAGGTTAGAGAAGGCGAGCATTTAATTGGAAGATCGCGAGTTCGACTCCCCGGACCAACAACATAATGTGGATGGAAAAGGTGAAGCACCCACACCTGCCTCCACCCTCATTTGCCCTACTCTGAGCCCTTGAGCAAGGCCCTTAACCCAACCATCTGCTCCCCCGGCACCCCAGATGCAGCTCTCTGCTCCACACAGAGGCTGTGGTAGCTCGAGGGTCTGTGGTTGTGTCAGGAAGAACATCTGGTGTAAAAACAATCACCAAGTCTTTGTGCGAGTTAGTTCACTGTGGTGACCCCTGAAGAAGGAGCAGCCGAAAGAAGAAGAAAATGAAATAAAACATCAGGCTAAAACGGCACAAATATCATGCTTCTTTTTCCATTTTCACTTCAGTCACCCAGATGTGAACCAGGTCTTCTGAGCCTGCAGCAGACGGTCAATCTACAAGCTTTTCAGACATAAAGTCTGCTGAATGTTTTGTTGCTCTATGAGTTAAATCGATCAGCCGGAGAAAAGTTAAACTGAAAGCAGACAAATTCTGAAAAAGATCCATAAAGTGATTTTTCCTTTGGAGCTTTTATGTTGTAAATCTTTTAGAGAAAATGCAGTGAGATTTCTGTGACCATCCATCCCAGTTTATCTTCTAACAGCTTAAATTGTTCAGCTGAATCCATCAAAGTTTGTCTACAAAATATAAATTAGGGAAGTGGTGACTCTTAAACGTCTTATCGGCTGTGGGTTCAGGTCGCCGTGGTGATAATAAGTGCAATGTGTTGGTGAACATCAAAGAGTCCAAATAAATATTAAAAACTGGTTCAAATGTGCCTGTAATCATTTACAAAGTGTAATCCAGCAGATTGTATCACAAGCATGGGCAGCTGCCGAGGCAGATATGGTGGTGTCAGAAAGTGGGATTGATGTGCACAGACAAGACCACGGTTTTACAAGCTCTGCACACCAACATCAGCTGTGATAGATTTTAATGCATACAACAGCTTGTGTACTGCAAAATGCTCAAATTCAGTGAGACCAGAAAGACAAGTTCACCTGTTTTCTCACAAATTTAAATCTCCGACTGGACCAGCAGACTGAGCCCAGTTGGTCCTGTAAACAGTGGAAGGCACCCACAGTCCACCAGAGGACTTTGTTCTGGGCATCCCTCTTCAGTTGGACCCACATCAGTCCGGCTTCCTTCTCCTCACTCTCATCTGAGCTTCTCGTGGTCTGTTGGAGCCTTCCAGTGTCTCATCTCTCCCATGTGCTCCAGTCCAGCACTGGTCTTGAGGTGTTTCCAGCTGGTTTACTCTGTGTGATTTGTCCGGCTCTATTTTTACTTCTTTATCACCAAGATGATGGACTTCTGGTTGGTTCTTGTCCACGAGCTGGCGCTGTGGATCTTCTCAGGCCAGCTGATGTTGAGGAGGTAACAGAGACCTCTGTTGATGAAGAACTGGAGCTTGTTGGGGATGATGTTGGTCACCAGCCATGTTCAGGTGGAAAAGGTTCATCTAAATGTTTTTCTTTCATGTGGAGGTTTCTGGTTCAAAATCCCTACCCTTTGGCTTGGCGTTTGTTTTGGTTGGTTTTCTCCCTATAAACGTTCACCTTCGTTGACTTTCAGGTCAGAACATTTTGCTCATTCATTGTACAGAGACGTTTTAAGAAAAAGACATTCCACTTCTTGTGCGTCTTTTTGCCGTTTAAAAAAATGAAATCTGCACAAAACTAACAAAAAGCAAAGATAGATCAAACCCTTTTCTTCTTTCATCCAGCACCATGAGGTGTCTGATGACTGATAAAATGGTTCAGCAGACTTTTTGTCAAACTGTAAATGAGCCTCTGAAACAGTTAACTGGTCGACCATCGACAGAACAAAACGGCCAGAGAGGCAGCCAGCAAACCATCAGCGTGTTGAATTATCTGGAGCATGTGACGTGTGTGTTCACACCTGAGTCACTCATCTCCACCTGAGATCTCCTCCGTCTGCCTCCGGTCTCTTTCACCTTTTCCTCTGAGAGGCTGTGTTCACTAAACGTCTGCCTCTCCACATAAGTGAGTCATTATTCTGCTGATTCATTCATTAAAGCCTCAGACGGAGCGACAGCCACAACGCTTTCACCCAGAAGTCTGCTGGTGATTCCTTTTACAAACCACAACCAGCCTCATTGTGAAAAGCACACCTCAGAGGATGGAGGAAAATACTTTACTTTCTGATCTATAGTCGTTTTTTGTCTAATCTGTTTTGGCAGGAAGTCAGAGAAATATAAAAAATACTCAAATTGAAGGTTTTTGTTCTGAAACAGAAAATAAAAGAACTATGTCTCATCTCCTGTCCTCCTTTGTCCTCCTGATGTTTCACATCTGCAGTTTTGTTGTTAACATTCAGTCTCGTGTTCACATTTACGGTTTAAAACTTGACTTGAACCTTCACCTTTGAACATTGTTGGGTGTTTTACTGATGTCAACTGATGTTTAAAGATCCTGTTTGAAACAGTGAGAACTGTAAATCTTGTTCGCAGCATCAGTTGTTGGAAATGCTGCTCAGAGCGTTAAAGTGTGTTCACAACAAGAGTTTATGAAATGGCCCGTTGGTATTCAGACGTCTGCACGTGGAAAACCAGATGTAGGTCATAAAAGTGTGAGTAGAGAAACTCCCCTGCTGCGGTGTCCTCCACAAACATTCAAATACATCAATGGTGGGGTTGAGATGCCTGTGACAAAATTGAGACAAGTTTGAGACATCTAGGACAAAATCAAGACCGGTTTGGGACACCTGGGATGAATATGAGACAAGTTTGAGACACCGTTAATAAAATGAAGTTAAATCTGAGCCACCCTTATCAAGACTGGGACTGGTTTGTGACAATTGTGGCAAAATCAAAACTAGTTTGAGATGTGTGCAACAAAACTGCAACAGGTTTAAAACTCCTGCAGAAACACCAAGACAGGTTTGAGACACGTGCAACAAAACTGAGACTAGTTTGAGACACCTGGGTAGTAACTTCGAGACTCCCATCAATAAAATCAAAATGAATTTGAGACACCCTCAGTAAACTGGGACTGGTTTGCGACAGCTGTAATATACTGGTCATCGTATCAAAGGGTTTATAACTCAGCTTTAGGATTTTATTATGTATCATCGTAGTCTGTGCAGAGGAGTTGTCTCCTGCTCTGATGTCCTCCACAAACATTCAGACACATCAGGAGGATAATTAACTGAGACTTCTAAAGAGGACAGGAGCTCCATCAAGTCCTGCTTCCAGAGAATTTGTGAAATAGAATGAACTCAGTAGAAGTCTTTTTGCTGTTGTCTGGTTTTCCAACAGTTGTTATTTGGAGTAAAAAGGACTAAAGTGATGCTCCCCAGTCGATCACACCGCACATGCAGTGTGAATTTTCAGTGTCACTGATCAGGAAACATCATAACTGTGTAGCACTTCCTGATGAGCTTCTCCCTTCATTCTCCATTCAGTGCACGGTCTAGACGAGACTAATTGAGTTTTGATTCAGACTGTTAACCATCTGTGCCTCCTCCTCACCCTCCCTCCCCTCCCTCTGTCCTCACCTTTATGTTCTCTGCAGGAGTTTCAGGACGTGTAGGATGCTGAGTATCTTTCCTCCTCGCCACCGCTCTCCACCCTGCTCTCCATGACCTGAGAGCACCACCACAGCGGGAGGAACCAAGCACCAGAACGACAGAGAGGAAGAGGAGGGCAGAAGGCCAAGGACAGGAAGGGACTCTTTGCTATTTTTTGTTTCCTCCTTCGAGATGGCTGCGACTGAGGCCAGTACAGCACCTGTGGTCCAGGAGGATGGAAAAGTTCCAGAAAACAATCTGGCCGAGGAGCAACCGGCACAAACGGCCAACTCAGAGACTGTCAACAGTGAAGTCGTGGATAAAGACGGCACGGCCGTCAACAGCGAGGTGGTCGATAACAAAGAGACTGTGAACAACGACACAGCTGCAGCACCTCCGGCGGGCTCCGAGGAGGGAGGAGAAGCAGCAGCAGCATCAAGTGGAGAGGCAGAACCTCCTCAGAGCTCTGAAAACACCTCCTCCTCCAATGAGCCCAAGACCTCATTCCTGGACTCCTTCCTCAACAAGAGCGGCCTGGGGAAGGTAATGGGAGGGAGGAAGAAGAAGGAGCACAGCTCCGCCGCAGGAGGAGAGGAGGGTGCCACCGAAGGAGGTGAGAAGGAGGGCGAGAAAGGAGGCGAGGAAGCTGCAGCTGCTGAAGGAGCAGCAGAGGGAGGCGCAGAAGAAGAGGCAACAACAGACAAAACTGCAGAAAATGGAGAAAAGGAGGAGGAGAAGAAGACCAAACCGGCAGAGACCAAGTCTTCGGTTCGAGATCTGATCAGGAAGCCGGTGGCTAGGATCTTCTCCCATCGCAGCACTGAGAAGAAGGACGGTGCCTCCACAGAACCAGAGAAACCAGTCAAGGTCCGATCCAAGTCCCTGGACCGTCTGGAAGACCCCGAAGTACTTAACACCACTGCAGACACCACTGTCGAGGAGATAGGAGCAGCGGCAGGAGGACGAGCAGAGGACGAGCAAAAAGCCTCAGCCTCCTCATCAGCCACGAAGCACATGAAGCGCTGGCACTCCTTCAAGAAACTCATGGCCCAAAAAGCTCATAAGAAAAGCGGCGGAGCTGAGGATGGGAAGGAGGAAGAAGGAGAAGGAGGCGGCGGAGACTCCTCCACGTTGGACTCCAAGGAGTCTGGCCATAAGAGGTGGAAGCTGAAACGCTCCTGGACCTTCCAGGGCCTTAAGAGGGACCCGTCCGTGGTCGGCATCAGCGGCAAGACCAAGAACTCAGAGAAGGAGTCCGCCGAGAAGACGGAGGAGACCGCAGGAGGAGCTGAGGAGGGAGAGGAGGCCAAGGCTGATGCAGGTGTGGAGGAGAACAAGGCGGAGGGAGGAGAGGAGAAGGCAGAGGGAGGAGAGGAGGAGAAGGCTACGTCAGCAGGGGGAGGGACCGTGACGCAACACGCCAATGAGATCTGGACCTCCTTCAAGAAACGCGTCATTCCCAAGAGCAAACGAGCCAACACGGAGTGCGCCCCCACCGCAGAGGAGGACGCTGCTGCCGCCGCCGCCTCAGGTGAGTCAAGAAGGAGCTCTTAATCTGACCTCAGAGATTCAAAGGAAGCATGTAATCTAGTAGAACAGTTATCTAATTTCTTAGTTGTTCCAAATCAAATGCAGCAGGTAGACAAGCCCTAATGATGTGCACGTTGGTCTGCTTGCACGTAGGAGGTTGTGTGAAACTAACAGTGCCTGTCCATCATTCAGCTCACATAAAATTATTATTGTAGCATCGATTCACATCAAGGTCATCTCATGCACCGCACAAAATCATTCACACATAAAATTGTCAATTAGTAAAAGTTGTTTATCAAAATAAGCCAGCAGATTGTGTTTAGTCTCCACGTCCTCAGTCTCCCATCCAAAGCAGCACGTTGGAGACAGTGGGAAGAAAAACTCCCTTTTAACAGGAAGAAACCTCCAACAGAACCAGATGATTCAGGATCAGCAGCCATCTGCCTTGACCCGACTGGAGATAGAGAGCACAGGAAAGAGACACACAGAGACAGAATGGCTGGTCCAGGTGTAGTTTCTATGGTCCAGGTGTAGTTTTTATGGTCCTGTTATATCATCTATGGTTCAGGAGTAGTTTCTATGGTC